TTGCCCCAGCTCCCCCCCCCATCCCTGCCCCGGCTCCAGTCCCCCCTCAGCCCCGCCCTCCCGTGGCTGCACCTGCTCCCCCCCCTCCATCTTCTGCTTCACCTTCAAACAGACCCCCCTGGGTGAGCGACACCAACTTTGCTGAGAAGTTTGATCCCGGTAAAACCACCACCACCACCATGAAGGTGCCGCCCCCGCTGCCCCAGGCCGCACCTCCTCCACTGCCTTACATCCCCAACCCCTCCCCTGCTGGACATCCTGCTCCCAGTCCTGCCCCCGTGCCCCCCAGCCCCGCCAGTTTCCCTCCGGTGGCGAGGGGCGTGGCTCAGCGGGCAGAGAGGTTTGCAGCCAGCAGCCGTACTCCTCTGTGTGGCCACTGCAACAGTGTCATCAGGTAAAACCCGGTCAAAGTTACTGACTGGTGTGTGGTGCAGCTGCTCTGCTGACCCTGTGGCTCTTCTTCTCCAGGGGCCCCTTCCTGGTGGCCCTCGGCCGCTCCTGGCACCCGGAGGAGTTCAACTGTCACTACTGCCACATGTCTCTGGCCGACGTCAGCTTCGTGGAGGAGCAGAACAACGTTTACTGCGAGAACTGCTACGAGGAGTTCTTTGCTCCCACCTGTGCTCGCTGCAGCACCAAGATCATGGGGGTGAGGTTGTGGGCGGAGTCAGAACCTGCGGCCGTGGCCGGTTCAAGATGAAACTGAACCGTCTGTGTCTCTGTCACAGGAAGTGATGCACGCCCTGCGCCAGACGTGGCACACCACCTGCTTCGTGTGTGCAGCCTGTGGAAAACCGTTTGGAAACTCTCTGTTCCACATGGAGGACGGAGAGCCGTACTGTGAGAAAGGTACGACTGGATGATGATGATGAAGATGATGATGAGGATGTTACTGCTGCTGCTGGTGGTTTCAGCAGTAAAGAGCTCTCTCTCTCTCTCTCCCTCCCTCTCTCTCTCTCCCCCCCCCCCTCTCTCCCCCCCCCCCCCTCTGTCCGTCTCAGATTACGTGGCTCTGTTCAGCACCAAGTGTCACGGCTGTGACTTCCCTGTTGAAGCTGGTGATAAATTCATCGAAGCCCTGGGTCACACCTGGCACGACACCTGCTTCGTCTGTGCGGTAAAGTCACACACAAACACACACTGATTTGGTCTCAAAGATCAGAGCGATCTTAATCCTCAGAAGAACTGTAACAATAACAGATGTAGCTGCACCAGGAGCACGCATTTAATTCTTAATCAGTGATTCGATAGATTAAATCCCAATCTGTCCGTCAATGAATCTGACGTGATAATCAATGATCACAGTGGGTTATGGGTAATAGAGTACACCTGAGTTTGATGTACTCGCTGCACTATAGGTAAGAAGAGAGGTGCATTAGCGTGTAATACCAGCCTCTGCCTCCAGGTGTACATCCAGTTAGATGTGGATTATGTGAGTGTGTAATACCGATCTTTCCCTGTAGGTGTGCCACGTCAACCTGGAGGGTCAACCCTTCTACTCAAAGAAAGACAAACCACTGTGTAAGAAACACGCCCACGCCATCAACGTGTAGACAACAGCATGGCCACAGGAGGGCGTAAAAACAAACGCCACCAAGGAAACGACCACCTTTCACAGGAAGCACCAACACCAACCAATGACAGTGCTCCACTGTGATGTTCTAATGCATTTAGGGTTAGTTCAAAGGTGACTTTGATTATTATCATCACTGACAACAAAAACACCGATCTGATTTAACATTAGCATCAGTGCTAGTCCAAGTGCATCGGTCTCCATGGAGACGCCTCTGATCTTATCTTATTGAATAACGTTTGTGACAGTTCTATCAGCAGACAATGGCACGATCTAAAGTTAGGGCCCTGAGCCAGGGTTTAAGTCACCGCGCCACCGCCAAACTAACATCATCGTCGTGTTTATTAACTATTTGCAGTTTCTATTATAAAAGTATTATATTGTCACCCAAAGGCCATTAGTTAATTATTATAAAATGTATTTTTATCATTATGTTTGTGTTTGTTTGGACTAAATTAGACGTAATATTTTAATTTTGAAGAAGAATATTTTGTTTTTTCCTCATTTCTCTTTCTGCCTTAAGGCCACCAGGGGGCTCTGTTCTCATTGCAAAATTGTCCTTTTTAATTTCCTTAATAAACTACGTGTAATATATATATATAGTTACAACCACGTTGTATTCAGTGTAATACAAATATTATTCAAAAATAACTTATTATTATCACTTTTGTTGAAAATGCAACAGATTTGGAGTTGATTGAGTAATTGCTTTAATATATTTCTTGACAAAGGATTCTTTTGTTTTATTCCTAAATAATTTTTAAACTATTTGATATTTTAAAGTGTTCTTTTGACGTGGTTAAAGGTGACAGACAGCAGCAGGTGTTGAAGTCAAACATGCTTCACTGTCATATAACATTGAATTTTCCTGCCTCAAAATGAGACAAAATTCAACTTTGTGAACAGAGCCACAGGACAATCCTGTCACGACACGTGTCATAAAGTGCCTTAAAACAGTTGCAGGTTTTCGTAAGGCGAGGCGGGTTTACTGGTGTCGCACATTTCAACAACTGTGCAACTTCTTCATAACAAAATGGTAGTGTAGTTATATGAGGTGCAGACAGACAGTGAGTCGGTGCTAATACAACTGAGAGGCTGCTAAAGAAAATGGAATTAGTAAAGCACTCACTTTCCCCAGTGTTAACTGCTGCCTCGTGTGGTCAGTATTGGTCAAAAATTCTAAATACCAAAATCATAAAAAAAACCCAACTAATTTTCTGATAGAGGAAGGAGTGTAATCTGATTACTTTGACATAAAATGACAGATTTTCTTGCTGTGGACCGTTGGGAGAGTGAGTGGTTTATCAAAATGACACGAGCCTTAGTTTGTCATTCGTATAGACTTGTGCGGTTTCCTGGAGGAATGTCATCGTCTTAAAGTGATGTAGACTTAGCTGTAGCTGTGTACCCCAATTTAGTAAATTACATTTTTGTTACATTTCAGTTTTCACTGAGGAAAAGTTCAGCCTGGCTCACAGCAGTAGTACTGACCGTTTGTCAGTACTGACCGTTTGTCAGTACCTCATACAAATATATTTAAGCGTAAAGAAACCTGAACTGTCCATTGTGTTTGACCAGCTCACATACTTATGTAAGGTAAGGTAAGAGTGTGTGTACTGGTGTACAGTTTTTACTCTCAGAATTTTATACAGTGTGTGTGTGTGTGTGTCTGCCAGTATGAGTGTGTATTTGAATGTTGGTGTGAAATGGTGTATGCGTGTGTGCATGCATAGCAGTGTGTCACAGTGGATTGCAGCATGTTAAACGTCAGTACAAGTTTGTGTCACAGGAATTTTGACAAAAAAGGGGAAAAAAACTGCGGATTCAACTTTACACAGTGTGAATTTTTTGATGACTTTTCATGCATTTCAGCAGCTTTACTGCACTGGACTGAACTGTTTTAAACATTTGAAGTTGAATAAATTGCACTTCAAACACAGGGAATTGTGGTTTGTGATGTTTTCAACCTTTTGTTAATTGATTAGCCGAATATATTCGCTTAATGGCGCACTTGTTATGACGATTTTAATGTCATCAAATCGCCCAAGCTTTTTATTGGCCGTCACTAGAGGGCGTCTGAGCAGCGATATATTTCAACTGTGATTGTAAAAGAGTTGTAAAAACGAAGAGGTATCACAACACATGTTCATAAACACTTTACAAAATACAGTGCACGTACAAGAAGTAGGCATGAAAAGAAAGTACAGTAAAAAGTAGATTTCTATAAAAAAAACCTCAATATTAAAAAAATATATAAAATGATGCACAAATCTTGAAAAGGGTGAGATATTGACAGAAAACCATGTTAAAACTATATGGCTTCAGTACTTTAGGAAACGACTAAAAAAACACGAAATATCGCATCGAACCTCTGGCAAAAAAATAAATAATCACGACTGTTTGGTTTTTGGCAAATATTCTTACATGTGTCTACATACCGGTATAATGTGGATTTCCTAATGAACCTGTTGTGTGGTTGAAAAAGATATTAATAGTAGTAAAATATGTAGACTTTATTAGCGGGAGGCGCTGGGGTGATAATTCTGTCTGTACTGTGGGTGAGTGACTTTAAACTGCGGGGTCGTTACAGAGTGAGTCATTACTGTAGCAATTGACGATCTTTGTGACGATCTGCCGTCTGGTATTTGGTGCGGTCTATCATCAAAGAGAGAGAGAGAGAGAGAGAGAGAGAGAGGTCGCCACACGCACTCAGAAAAAACACGTATAGAAAATCCGAAAGGAACTTTTCCGTGTTTTCCCCTCATTTTTATCACACTTTCCCTTCGTGTCGTGTGAACAACGTTGTATGGAATTTACAGCAATGAAGTAACGTCGAGGGAAGCGCCACGTCCCCGGGGACCCAAGTGAGGAAGAGCCGGAGAAGAGAGAGGTGAGAGAGGGATGAATCCATAGCTCGCTCCGTCTGTCTGTCTGCGGCTCCTGAACTTTGGGCCTGGCTATGTCCTGGAGACACGGCGTCTGCTCTGAGAGAGAGCGTATTAAAAGACCTCTAAACCCACCAACATGACATGCTTTGGCTTAATTTACCATAAGTTAGGCTTAAATTTGGGTTGGGGTTTATTCCGAGTTTGGATGTAATATTTTTTAAAGTAATGTAGAATTCGGTAAACAGATTTCGTGTGTTTAGTTCCGGTGATAGACGGATCTGCTGCTGCGGTGAAAAAAAAGTTTGCATTTCATTGTCGCTGCTAATTTTAAATACATCGTTTGTCTTTTATGTCAAATATAACTTCTAGATTGAACACAAACCACCAGGACACTTTATTATTCGTCGAGTACAAAAATACTACAGTGTTTTCGTACATTTTCTGTCGCATTCCTCGGTTTGGTGAACTCTGCAGCGCATTTACAAGATACCGCTGGACAACAGGAAACATCAGTGTGCTAAACTAGTTCGCTAACTATGCTAAATATCTGCTAACTAAACACAACAACTCTCTAAACATTTCCCCGTTTAAATTAAATTAGCATAATACCAACAAGCGCATAGTCTTTACCTTGAACGTGTTTGCCAACGTTAATGAGGTTTTTAGCAACAGATCAGTGAAACACTGGAGGAAAGTGGCCGAACTGTTTGGACAATTCAAACTATTTTAGGCTTTTAAGCGGACATTTAGCTGTTTTTGACTTATTTCTGTCGTATATTGACACGTGTGTGTTGGGACTGTTAGCTCATTGTTTTTCCTTATTCTTAAAAAGCCTTTTAAGATTTTAACTACGTGTTTAATCTAACTCTTAACTACGATTTCAAGTCTGTTTTTCTTTGCGTAATCAACATTTTATAGATTTTTAAAGGATCATTTCTTTCAATCTTTTTTAAATGCCATTTTGATTCAAGCAGTTTTACCGATCTGTGTTATTGTTCGGCAGAGTTGTGATATTTCAGGGTCTGATCCTGCTTTAAGCTGTTGTGTATTTTCTGTAGGTACGTTTTGATACAAGTTTACGTTTTTGTGGTGAAGTGTGATGTTTCGGTGGTTTGAACAGGGCCTGGCTGTCTATCTGTTTATCTGTTGAGTGGTTTTGTTGTCCTGCTCTCATGACTGCAGCTCTTTGTTAAATTTCCTCTTATTTTATTTGAAAACAAATGGTTCATTAGATAAAGATTAATGTTGGAAACTCAGGGTAGTGAACATACGAAATGCTGAATCAAGAATGAGCTGCATTTTTCCACTTTGTCATTGTTGTTTATAGGGCATTGACAGAATGTTATTGAAACTAGTAACAGGACAGGAACAACCTAAAGTTACAGTTAGAGTATTGAGCGTCATCTTTTCTCCTAATCTTCAGGACTCCTGTTTTGCAGTGATGTCTTTGTTGGTTAGAGGCTGCTTAACCTGAGCAAACAAATACAACACCTTAGCATCTGAAAAGCCGTTTATTTCAGGCTCAGTTTCCAAGATAAGCATTCATCGCCGACAGCTCTGCTCGGCCCAACACGACCAACCAACGGCTGGTAGAAGCACCGGAGAAGGTCATTTAGGCAAAACACCAGAGTCCACGCTCCGATGGCTGCTTATTGATGGTAGCCATCAGAGCGGTGACAGGAAAATAAAAAAAAAAATTTTTTGTAAAATTGGTTCTAGTCACAATTCTTTCATTGGAAATTGGCAAGAGATTTGAAAACCAAAGGGAGGGCGTCAGAAATGAAAATGGAATTATCCATATGTCAGACAGCTGTACATTCCAAAGCTGAGGCTCGGATCTGTTACCAAAATAACATTCAACTGAGCAACTAACGCTAGGATCACTACAACAACACAGAGACACAACGTTTCCTCTGATTGGCTGTCTCTCAGCTCTACACACCTTGTCTTTACTCTTTACCATGAATATATTTGTACCAACTACTACAGCCCAGCTGGAAACCATGGGTAAAATCTGGAAAAAACTCTCTTGAGATACTTGTGATCTTCAATAACCAGATATGACCAGCTCAGTCTTTTCTTCTACAGTGGCCTTTGGTTTGGGAGCACGAGTGGTTCAATAGTTTAAGCTCTAGCAGTGCAACGTAGCATTTAGCATCTACCTCAAACTGGAGTGTGTGTGTATGTGTGTCAGATGCTGCAGTGATTTGGTGATTTTTCAGCTCTCATGGACAGAGACGGACTGCTCTGGTGTTTGTGAAATGTATTTTTATGCCAGGCTGCTGGAGCCTGTACAGTCCTGACCTCTGATCTGGGACCGGTCAGACCTGTGTCCAGGAAAAGTTCAGTTAATGCAACTGGATTCTGGCAACAGAGCTCGGATGTTTCTGGAAAAATGGCTTTGGTTGGTGAGCTGAGCCGAACCAGGTGTAAATATTTTTATTTTTTACAGTGTGGGCTGCATCAGCACTGCAGATAAAATATTTAGTTTGGTTTCCAATGGTAGAAAGTAGTGGTTGAAAAACGTATGTCAACTCAGATACAATTACAGGACAGGGAACAAGGACCAAAAATCAATGACTAGTCCACACGTGGTCCTTTGTGAATAAACAATTCCTCCAAGTTCCCAGGTTTCTCTCCTTGTCCTTTACCACTCAGGTACCCAGACGTCCTCGTGTCCTGTACCTGTCCTGGTCTGGACGTTTGCTGTACGTCCATCAGGTTCTTGGTCTCTAAACTGACAAAGTACATAGAGTGTGGTTTGTGGTTTGGTCCTCAGTTCCTCGTGGTGAGAAGTACAGACAGGTCTTTGTGTCGTCTCTACGAACTGGTAGAATCTTTTTTCTTCTGCTGGATTCCCAGTTTTAGTTTTTCTTTTCCTGCAGTAGGAACTGCTTAATGACCAGGTTAATGACCAGGTTAATGACCTTATGAGAATTAGACCACAGAAAGGATGGATGGGTTAGTGATGTCTTGTTGAACAGAGCTCTGACTTTTCTGTTTTTGTATATATCTTTTGTTCCATTTCCCGTTCTCTTTATTAAAACCAGTTCTCACATGAACCTAACAGAAAAGGCACCTTAACAAAGGAATAAAACGCCTCGTATTTTCTGCCACACCAACACAGAAGGTCTGTCTCCTGCAGCGCTGTTTGAGATTTTCTCCTTTTCTGTCCCCCCTTTTCTTCGTTCTTCTCCTCTTCTCAGTTTTCTCTCTCCTGGGACTCTCTCCGGTCTTGGAGGCCGAGCTTCACGGCTCTTTTTCTTTCCTCTGCTCTATTTCTATCCCTCTGGCCGCAGTTTTTCCTCCACTTTTTTCTTTATGTTTCCCTCCTCCAACTCTGTCAGTGTGTTTCCAGTCTTGGAGGCAGAGGATCAGATTACCCAGGGAGTCTTGGCTCAGTGGAGAGGTGGCAGCAGTGGAGGTGGAGGAGGTAGGGAAGGAGATCAGGTTTCACATCTCTCCTCCTTCTCTCCTCCTCCTCCCCCTGTGGCCTGGAGACAGAGTGGCTGAGCCGAGGAGGAAAACATGCAATCCACCCTCCTCTTCTCCTCCTTTCCTCATCCTCCCCCTCCATCCCATTCCAGCCTCTCTTCAGCAGCAACAGATAAATACAGGCAGTAAATTGGAGCCGAGCTCACAGAGAGGGAGACTCTTCACCTCCTCTGTCCCTGTACGCACACTTTATGTCCTGCTCTTCTGTCTCTGTGTGTGTGGGGTCAAAGGTGATGCTGCTTCACAGAGACCGGCTCTGGTTCTGTGGGACCAGGATCAAACCTGAGCCCTTTGGTTCAAACCAGATGATCTCCTTCAGTGCTGAGTGTCTGTCGCCCCCTGTCCTGCAGGATCGGTTTTAAATGAGTTCTAGTGCTTTGGTCCAAAACTGTGCATCTGAGCAGAGAAAAGGAGGAGCCAGGAAGGAGTCTTTGTTTGTTTGTTTGTTTGTTTTGTCAGAACACAGTCACCTTTTTACCTCCGTCTCATGTTGAGTTTTTATGGTGAGAATAGTTCTGTTTGGAATTGATTTCAGGTTCAAAGATCCTGCTGCAGTTGAAGGTTGACTCCAGTGGCTCCAGTTGTCCTTTAATGGTATTGATCTTTTCCTTAAATACACCCAGCCCATCCCAGTGAATTATTCAGATGGCCTCAACCACAGGGGGCGACACTGTTCCTGTTAGACGGACAAAAACATCCCTCTTTCTGTGGTTGAATTCTCTCTCCACCTGCTGAGAAACTGAGGATTTGGTTTGACGTTGGTCTAACGGCAGCCACGCTTCGGAGACTCCAGCGCGGTGTGGGCTGCGGTCGGAGCCGGGGTTTGTCTCCGGGACGTCACGTTGTCCTCGTGTGGAGCATGGAACCTTCTCTGTTGTTCTGTGCTGTTGTTTACAAAACAATAGTCTGTGTGTGTGTGGGGGGAGAGGGAGGGGGACAGGGAGGGGGGGCATAACAAATGTTGCTGGACATTATATTGTCCCACAAATGGCTGTTAATAATAATAATAAAGACAATAATAATAACAATAATAATAATGATGATAATAACAGTAATAAAGACAATGATAATAACTAATAAAGACTATAAAGACAATAATAATAAAAATGATAATAACAGTAATAAAGACAATAATAACAATAATAATAATGATGATAGTAACAGTCATAAACACAATAATAATGATAATAATAACAATAATAATAATAATAATAATAATGATGATAATAA